ATATTTGAATGGAAGAATAAAAGGATAAGGATGAGCCAATACTCATGCTGAGACTGTTGCTAGTCTGACTCCATTATTATTATTATTATTAGCCAAATTTGAATATAATTTGTACAGGTATTCTAGATACTGTCAGCTTTATTATACCTCATCATCCTGGACTGCTGACTCAAAGTATATTATGTTTTAAAATAAATTAATTACGTTTGATGAATTTGAAGTTTTGTTTAAAAGCTGTACATTAAAATGTATGAAAACTTTGTTTCTTTCATTTTATTTCAAAAATAACACAAACAAGAATAAACGATCGTAAAAGTAAGACATCATAATCCGCACTTATATGGTTAATTCTTTAATTCTTGTTGTTAATATAGTTTTGCTATATTTATATAACAAATTTATTATATTTTTGTTATATAATTATTGACCTGTTCTATGACAAAAATAGTTACATCGCGAGAAGAGTAATGAAAGTTCCATAGATTTTATGAACATTTATTTATTTATTGAACGCTTCACAAAGAAACAGAGTGTTTTCTTCTTAAGTGCTTGTCGTTTAATATAAAATTATGATATATAAAAATAAACGATATTATATTATATAATTATATATTATACAATATATAATAATTATTTCAGAGAAAATAACATTAAAAAAATAATTAAATAAAATAATTTAAGGTTAAGGTAAGTGTCAAATATTGAACTTATTGCCAGTAAGTTTTGAATCAACTCAAGCCTCTTTTACGAGCCCAATTGGTAAACGGAAAACTCGTACCACGCCTTGTTTTCTTTAGCACTATCTGATAAAGCTATAAGTGTGTACGTTGTGTTTTATCTTATTTATGTGAAGAGCAAGTCAATCAGTCAACAAACTGTAGCTCTATATGATATTTATATATGTTTAGAGTGGAAATATGCTTCTAAGATAATACATCAAAAAGAAGGAATTACAAGGTTAAATTTTTATACGTAAGCTCTTGTCTATATCAATTTTGTTAGTTTGTTGAGCTATCTCTTTTTTTGAACACCGTTTAAATATAGATTGAAATGTATAAATGTTGAACGACGAAAATAGTCGTCATAGATAAAAGTGGAGAATATTTTTTTAACGTCACACTATTGAAGATCAAAGGAAACATACAGCAATAGTATACCCCCTCTTTCAGTATATGTTTCTTACACAGTATCGTAATAACCGCAATTCATAGAGGTTCGCCACACTCGGGAGGCAGACAACGCCACAATGGCCATAGTAAAAACCTATTCGACGAAATTGGATCGTTTACGACGTTGCATTTGGTGTGGTAGTATTTTATATAAATTACACGTCTGGGATGAGCGTCTAGCCCACAACGTTGGGCACTGTAATTAGAAAACGCTTTCGTGGCTATCGACAATTCAAGTGCGGAAGAATGTTATAATTGTAAGTATAAACACGATTATATCTGTTTTAAGAATTACACCTGTGTTGTATTCAATTGAATTTATTCGAAGAGATGTTTTGATTATCAAAAATAACTAAATAAAAACAAACCATCTATAGATAAACGTTGCACTCTCACTCAAAGGAAGTCTTCAAAGTATATTTACATCCGTGGTTATATATATGAATAAGTACCGTTTGCAACCAACGTCAGTTTTGGTTGTTGGTGTATAAAGCGAAGGGTACAGTACAGAATCTTCCTACTTATTAATCTTTATTTCATTTGGTAAGGTGATTTCAGTATTGGTTTTATCCATTTTACCTTGGATCCTGAGATAAAAGGAAATAAAAAGGGGTATTAAAGCATTGACCCCGGATATAACAAAGTTACGCTCTCATACATACTAGCCTTGTAGCCAGCAAAAAATATACGGGCGGTAGTTTTTTTATTTTTTTCCAAAAAACATTTCGGTTAACAATAAACCTTTTGATGTGTTTGAAGTACCGCATAAATATTGCTGTAAATACTTTACCGATATTTTTATATCAGTACTGTATTTATTATATTGCAGTTACTCCTACAAAACCAATTTCAGTATGTTCTTTGTTAGAATCCTTGAACCGAAAGTAATCCAGGTTATAATCTTCTTTTAATTCTAATTATACACTCCAAAATAAACAAAAAATAAATAAAAAAATTAAAAAAACCGGACACCGGATGTATTTTAATGTTTATTTAAAACTAAATGTATTTTCAACCTTTAAATAAATTACAACAAACATATTTTATTGCAAACCAAATTATACGATATCAGCAATTCATGAGTTTAATAAAAAATATTTAATTATGAAGGTTTGAACGAAAATTCACCGAAACACCGATAATTCACTTAGACATAGATTAAAATTGAACTAACAATTTTTGATCCAGTTTTGCTCTTCATGTGTGTTGTACAGTTTGACATAAACAACAAAATGCAGGAGTCCTGATTTTTGGTCTTTCAGTATATTTGTTGTTTATGTAAATTGTTATGCACGGTATTATGTGTACCTAACTTACAAGGGAGATTTACTGACCTAGGATCACTGATTTTTATGGATTTTTTTGTAATATTAGGTCGAAAAATATTATAGACAGATCGGTGCGCCCTTAATTAATAATTTATCATTTTTCACACCAATAGATACGAATTGTCTCCGATATTCTCTTCCTCTATCTCTCTCTCTCTCTCCTCTCTCTCCCATCTCTGTCTCTCTCTCTCTCTCTCTCTCTCTCTCTCTGATAATTTCTCTCTCTCCCCCTCTCTCTTCTTCTCACTCATTCTTTTTGTCTTATTACTGCACACGAGTCGAACCAACCACTTTCCAATTTTTTTTAAATTAATCTAAAATAAAATTCAACCATCTTCCCCGGGTTTGGAACCATCATCGCTAACGCTGTAACTACAAGTCGAATGGTCTAACCTCTGAGGGGACAAATGCAAAATAGCTTCAAAATCGTAAGAAAACTTATCAAAATATTATTTAAGGATTTATCTAACATTCTGCATGTGTTATTTCCGTAATAATAATTAATTTTATTGACATTGACGCGTCGTTTAACAAAATAATAATAATTATAACAAGAAAGTATATCTGTTTTCAAACTAATATTGTGATCGCATAAATTAATTATTATGTTCCTTGGAGCCAATTAGTTTGAAAAGTAAATTATTTTGTACATCGAGAGCTGTTTGTTAAACGGAAAACATCGGGATTGGAATTGTGTATTTATGCCTTTATTTATTGGATAGATGGGCTGACAATTATCCTAATTCTATTTCCTTAGAAGGGATGGTATCTAGTGAGTGTGGAAACGGACTTTTTCCGTTAATTACTCTGAAATGTGACTCAACCAGGAGATTATGGTAATGGCTGAGAACTAAGGATCCTCCAGGGAGATTTATAAGCACAGTTGGAAATACAAAGGGACTGACTGGTGCGGATGACGCTCAACTATTCGAGGCTCGATCGTGGTTTTAAAAGTCGGCTTCAACATTGAGGATAATTATGGCTAAGAAATCCAAAAGTCGCCCCTTTGCCGTCGGCTCGAGGACGCGGGCATTTTAAGAATTTCGCTCCTTCCATTGAACAATCTTCTCCTTAAAGGGGCGAAGAATTATTTTTTCACGTAACCGCCGCTTCGTTTTAATTCCAGGCGCACATGTTGGCCCAACAAATCCATGCCATCGAATAAGTTTATTTCATCATATAAATTATTCATTTAGTAGGTTCCGTGATTGTAACAGCACTGAATAAAGGGTCAGTGACTTGTTTTTACATACACCGATGGACAAATTTAACGCCCCACTGAATTTATTCAGTTTAAAATTAAATCCATTTCTTTCTAAATTAGTTACAGATAAGATCTATACTAGACCAAATAAACAGTAAATAATGCTTTGTTTGTTTTCTTTCTTTTCTTTCGGACTCATTACATCCCATTTGCACAAAAAGTAGTATTCCCTTCCTGTTGCGCCTAAGATCGCTATCAGTTAATATTTTTTCCTTCGTTAGTTTGATTTGATATTTTTCTTATTCTTCAACTTTTCAATGGCTTTAGTCAGACATTTGAGTGAGTATGACAGTGTCAGGGTAACATTATTTGAGACAGGAAATACAGTCAGCGCAAAGTCGGTAGGAGACTGAGTGTAAATCACTCTACACGTTGGGATTCTTCAGCGCTTCAGAGAAACAGGGCTTCACACTAGAAATCCAAGACAGGGTCGACCTAGGTCTATGGACGAGAGGGACGATAGATATATCCGTCATCCGGCGACGGCAAGAAGATGGCTCAATGAAAATAACTTCAGGCCCAGCAACCGACTCGTGTACCTCTTCTCACCACAGTTCAGAAAATGCTAGACTTCGCACGGGAACAAGTGAATTGGACATTGGAAGATTCAGGACGAGTTCTCTTTGGTGGAAAAGGTGAGAGTTGGCCTCAAATCTTCAGATGGACGTAGTTGTTTTGCGAGGATGATCTTTAACACCACAGAGGTATTTACCACACATAATCTAACATGTAGCGCCATTTCCCCCTACATCAGTGAAAGATTCTTGCTAACGCAGGATAATGCCAGGGCTCATAGAGCACGTATTGTGGATGAAAACCTGATTGAGGTTGGAATTGAGTGTTTGGTGTCCAAGTTTGAATCCAATCGAACAAATTTAAGACGAACATAACAGACGTGGTTTGCGCTCAGAATTAGAGAACAAACATTTTCTTTCAAAATGTCTAATTTTTGTAACCAAACCTATTTTTGGTATGCAAAATATAGTATGCAAAACCAAAACACATTAAAATTTAAGGGGGTGCGATCATTTTGTCGGTTTATTTAAAGCGGGGAGAGGCCAGATACAATGGTTTTGTAATTTTGATAATTATTTTACTAATTCATTATTTACATTAGTTTGTCTTTTCATCTATTGAGTTAGATTAAATTTTTAAAAAATGTTGGCCTTTTTTTTATAAAACTCAATCAATACTGTTTTATTGATGTAACTTTATGTAATTTATGTGCATGCATATAAAGTAATTATATATTTTACATTATTTTTATGTTGTTCGACCCCAGGCACTTGGGGATCTGGTTTATGGTCTGGGTTTGATAACATAAAAATGCGATTACTTTGCTAAGCTTTCGGACTTTGTAAGACACAGAGCAGTATCGTACAATATATTATATAAACATAATGAAAATCGACATTTTCGTAGTTTGTTAAACAGAACTAGTAAGAACATGGTGTAAGTTAAAGTTATTAGAATAATTATTTGTACAGTATGTTCATTCATTTACGATACAGGAATTATTTATCTACTAATTGTAGATTTATAGACAGAAATTACTTAAATTAATTTACGTTGGTTTATTAATCTTCAATTATAAAATGAACCTTATTTTTGAATGATGCTATTGAACAAAAAAAGTCAATTTGGTTAGATGTTTTTTTAATAGCATTTTTCTGTGGAAAATTATTTTGAAAATGTTGCTGAAATTACATAACATGGCATCAATAAAGCCGAAGTTTGAATGTTATTTAATGACCTCAATTAAATATTAAATGAACAAAAGACAAGATCGATTAATCACTCCGTCAATCAGCTAATGTTTTAATTTATTATCTCTAATAGCTGTAGGTTTTTGAAGGAAATATTTTCAAGAAATAACGAAGTTCCAGTATAAATTAATTGAAAACCAAATGTTATTTACTAAAGAATATATTAGCATTTTAAACGATTGTTGTTTTGAAATTAAATTAACTAAATCATTAAAAATTCAATCAATGGTTTTTTACGGAAAATCCTTTTATTAACATAACTTTTAACAATATGCTATAGTACTAGTTTTCATTTTCTACAAAAATTAAGGAAGAAGCAATTTGGAAAAAACGCTCATTAATCTTCATCAATTTTGTAGACTATTTTTATTTGCTTATTAAAATTTTCCTTATTTTTAGAAAGTTAATGAAGTAAAAGGGCAAGTTTTTAATTAAGTATTTTGTACGGTACTCAATAGTTTAAAGTATTCAATACATTTTATATAAACCTTTAATTTTATGATTTTGTATGAAAAAATTAGGGTAAAGCCAATTAGCAAAAGTCAGTTCCTTCGGCAATCTTCTCAGTAATATATCCCCTTCATTAGGACATTCACACCGTTATCAAATACGAACTCAGCTACATACAATTCTGACCCTTATGGTTTCAAATAGTGAACTTGTGACTTGATAGTGGAACGATATCAACAACCCATTCATTCTATTCAATTATTACAAAATTGTAATATGGAAACTGATATCAATTATGTTTAGCGAATTTTTAAACATTTTTTCAGTTCTTTCTAGATGATGTTTGAATTGATCAAATGGTGCTCAAAGGTATTTAGCTCTTTTTGGATAACCAATGTAGCGTATTTTTCAGTTGATTTGTTTTCTCATTGATAGCTCTAATCAGAACA